CCTTCCTCCGCCACATCCTCCCCATCTGTAAAATGGGTGGGCTGGAGAATCACAGGAAGATACTTTGTCCCTGAGGGCAAGGACCATAAACATCCTGGGAACATAATTTGGGTGAGGGGCTTCGGTCTGAGTCTCAGTTTCCTCATCTGTAAATCCGGGGCAAAAGAACTAGCTCAAAGGGTTCTTTCATTGGATCCATAAATATTTGAGGAACAGCCAGGAGGCCAATGTGGCTGGAGGGAGTGAACAGTGGGAGGTGGGAGGAGAGGAGAGAAGGAAGGTGGGGGGCGGGGGACAGACCGTGCAGGGCCTTGTGGGCTCTACGCAGAAGAGGGACGGGAATTGACACAGTTGCTCAAGGACATCCTTGGTCTGTTAAGGGGAAAACAGACTAGGAGGTGGAAGGCGGAGCTGAAAGACTTGAAAGGAGCAGCCGGCTTTGGGCGGGGAGGGAAGATGGAAAGAGACTGGACCCGGTGGGGACCTCGGGAGGGGAGAGACATGGGCAGATTCTGGATTGGTATCATTTCTCCTCCTCCTCTTTTTTTCCCAAAGAGTTTCGCATAGGAAAAAGAGAAAACATCGCGCCCTGGTCTCTGGGGCGACGCAAACCACAGATAGCCAGCCGCGAGTTACCAAGGTGCCCACAACTTTGCAGGATCCCGGGAGGGCGCCACTGTGCAGGCACCGCCGCCAGGGAGCGCTCCCCGCTTCGCGCCCCAGGGACCCGCCGTTTGGCCCGGCCACGAGGTGGTAAAGGGAATGCGGATGGGCCATGAGCCAAGCGGCACTCTCCAGAGGCTCTGGGAGACCTTGGAGAAGTTCTGCAGAAGCCTCCACCCTCCGCCTGCATGAGTGGAGCGCCAACTGCATACAGCAGCCTCGAAGAAGAGGCTGGTCCCCATTTTACAGGGCGGAAAACTGGCTGGCTCAGCAGCCACAGGGTCCACACGGCCCACAGAGAGGCAGTGATGGAGCTGGGATTCGAACCCCTTTTCATAAAAACGGCAATAATAAAAATGACAGCAGGTAACATTTATGGAGCGCTTACGGGCTCTCAGCACTTGGCCCGCACTATCTCATTTTCTCAGCACCCGAGGGATGGGTGGGTAAGTCCCATTTCACAGACGAGGCGCTCTCAGGAGTTTGGGGCTCCGTTCCCGCCTCCCGTCCACCCCCCAACCCCCCCAGCATGGGGCACTGGGATTTGAACCCAGATCTGCCCAGAGCTTGCCTGCAGGCAATGGGAGACTCCCGTGCTCCCGTGCACTTAAACTTCAATTCCCCGTACGCCGAATGGTTCCAGGAGGCCCGAGCTTGCACACACAGGGAGGGGAATTGTTTGTGTGTTGGGGGTCCCGGGAGACCCAGAGGCCCCGCCACTCCCCGCTTTGACCGCGCTCACTCTTTCTGGGTTTCCGCGCACCAAATGGAGGACCTCTGAGCAGAGCGGATCCAGAAGGGCGTGGGGAGCAGACGGAGCGCCGCGGAGAGGGGGCGCCCGGCAGGCTGGGCCCCGCAGCCCCAGGGG